TATATACACACACACACATACATATATATAACTGTGGTGGTTATGTTGTGTGTCAACTTGGCTGAGCCTGGTTGAGTGGCTGGGCAGCTGGTGGTAGTTAATCCCCATGACGAGACTGGCAATCAACTCCATAGTGGGATCTACCATAAGCAGCTGAGTAGCTGTCTTTGGGATGTGGTCTGCTTCCTGTATATAAGGAGAAGCCTTGGGAATGGTTTTTAGCCTATGGCACGCTCGGACCCTGCATGTAGCCCTGTCATTCATTGCTCGGCAGCCTGCTATACTCTGCCGACCTTGGGACTTAAAATGGACTTAAGTTAATGGCCTGCCATGTGGTTTGGTAACATTGGGACTGTGCCTTTTTACTTGTCAACCTTGGGACTTCTCAGCCTCAGCAGCCAGCAGCTGTCTGAGTGAAGAAAACGCCTCTAGCTCCAGTGGGCCGGGAGCAGGAGGCAGAGCTGGACCCCAAGGTTGAGGGGCTTTCACCCAGCCCCTAGACCCTGGCACTTTGCACTTGGACTTAAAGCCTCCAAATTGTAAGAAGAAACTCCTGTTTGTTAAGGCCGTCCCATTTGTGGTATGTTTCCTGTCAGAGCAGCACTAGGTAACCAGAACAATACCTATACACATATATGCCTACACACATACATATATACCTGCACATTTGTTTTTTGGTTGCTTTTGCTATTGTTACAAAATTATATATGCTATAGCAATTACCAATGGGTCCTTTTTCTTTTTTTTCTAATTTTTATTGTGATTTGGGTGAGTTTACACAACACATTCATTTTCCATACAGCAGTCTATGCACATTTTGTTCCATGACATTGACTGCAATTCCCCACAACATAATAGCTCTCTTCCCACTTCCTCCCTGTAGTACCTCTTCCCTGTGCTCTTCTTTCTTACACATTCTTACCCCCTGAGCTAACTCCCTGTGCAAATACTGCCTTTCTGTTCTCCCATGATTGATGGTTCTAAGGAGTATATCTGGGAGCTCTGGTAGCATAGTACCTAAGACACTTGACTGCTAACCAGAAGGCTGGCGGTTCAAAGCCACCAGCCACTCCTCAGAAGGAAGATGGGGCAATCTACTTCCGTAGTGATACTGCCTCAGAAACTCAAGGAGGGGTCGCTATGAGTTGGGTCAGACTCAACAGCACATAAGAACAACAACAACAAGGAGTATATCTACCTGATGTAAATGTTCACCCTCTCTGC